ACCCGGATCCAGAGAAATCACTCCTGATCCCTCCTATTAAATTATTAAATATATAATTAATTAAAGTTTTAATTTAACATATAATATAATATAATAAAAAAATTATATCAATACCTTTTGAGATATAGGGCCTTGGTTTTCAGCCCGTATTTCAAGTGGTCTTGGTATACAAAGATAATATTCCCCAAGTCGATTCATAACAAGGCGGCTATCATATTCAAGTTTATATGGGAGAGGTTCTGCAGACTTGATTTTAAAAAGAAAGGAATATTCCCCACGAGACTTGCCCCAATGTTTAGAAAGTATCGTAATTGATTGTTGAGAATCCTTTTTGGAACGGAGCTTCATCTTGAATTTTTTACAATTGGCAGCAAAATTGGAGGAATATCCTTTAAGCAAGTCGTTCATTGCTTTATCACAAATGTCATAGGGAGTTTCACTGGTACAAGCCTATAATTAGAGTAACATAATATATAATTAGTATTAGACTTGTAGTCTAAATTAATGGATTGGCTGTTTTGCTACTTGTTGCCGACTTGTATTTTTTTTTATTCTTCAGTTTTGTGCGTATAGAATCTGCATTGCATTATGTGAACTGCTTGTAAGTTATCTTTTCCGTTTCTGGTTGTAATAGTAGCCTGGAATTTGCCGTGGTACCGGAGAATTTGTTGAAGTATCTTCTCTATTAATTGACGTCAGTTTGTTGCTTCCGTCAATTAGAGGTGATCAATGAATGTGTATGCTGGTCAAAATGAAGGTCTATTCCTCGGGTGTGCGATGTCTTTTCCGATGATGATTCATTAGTTGACAGACTAATTATTTTTTTTTCACGTGTGATCTGTGGAGAAATGTTATTGGCTGGAATCTTGCACTTGTAAAAATGATGCACAAGTTTACTATCCGTATCTGGGTCGACGTTAGCTTTTGCACTTGATGTCAGATAACAATAATCGTAGTCAGCAATACCAAGCGTTATATCGCTATCAACATATATTATATTATATATTAATTCAACGATACATCTACAATGATTTATCTACCAAATAACGACTTTTCTCATTGGTTCCTGACTCTTTACCTTACAGTACCTGCCCACTCCAATCAATCAACATTCCATACACACTTTTTTTTCCACTTTGCGTTACAATTACAAACACATATCCGTCATTAAGTGAGTAAACATGCTTTAAGCAATAGGAATTACGGTTTATTGGTATTTACTATTTGTAAATAATACATTAAAGACACCCTAACCTTGCTTTTGCGTGACATAAAATACCTTTTTGAGCCATCAAATTAAATTTCTATTGTTGTTGCCGCCGTCTTTTTACTAAATTAATATTTTGAGTTTGACACTACATTATCAAAATGGTTCGTGGTCAACACGACAAAAATACCGAATTAACGTTTACCCGTCAAATACCGCACAACTTGTGTATTTACTATATCCCTTAATCAACTTTAGGAAAATGTACATTACGTTTCGTATTTAAAACATTAATTTCGACTTGATATCAATAGTTACAATGCAAGCCTCCCTTTCAATCGTTGATATGTGTTGGTCGAGTCATATTTTTTATATTTTTCTTTGTTGTGTTTTTTAAGATGAGTCATCTGTCGTACCTCACATTGCTCCTTACAGCATTATTTACGCTACAACCTTTGTATGACGTTCAAAATTAACCACATGGACGTACATATCCTTTGTGACAGTTAGATTACTATCTTTTTATCTGGGAAAACTTTTCCACTAATATTGGCACTGCTTACTGAAGTTTAAAACTAACAGTTACATAGAAGAGCAATAAAAAACAAACCGTTCCAATTGACAATGTTGGATTAGGCATAAATTCATTAAAAGTCTTGAATAAACTTTATATATTACGGATCATATGCAACGGATGTGTTATTCACATTAAGGTTATTGATGAGATTGATAGTGTAATAAACAACATGAAATATTCAGACCGCTCATTCAACCAAATAATAACCTACTCCTTGTAATCAAAAGAGTGAGGCATCGTACAAATCAGATAAAAATTTACGCAGCCATATATTTATTACAGTTGCATATTTCCATTGTATAAAATATATAAACCAAAGTTATAAGTTAAAAATAAAACGTAAAGTTATATTGTTCTATTTTTAACTTTCTAACATCAGATAGTGATCAATAATACGATAGCATATTTAAAATTCTATACCTCCTTTTTTGCAATCATAGCAGCTTGAATATAAATACACATGCGCGTAATGCTGATTATAATAATAAATTATTTACGCTCTTGGTTTATATACTTTCATAAATCACCGCCTTTTCGCATAAAGTCTTAATATTAGGTGACGAAAAGCATGCTTTACGTAAGAGTTTTTGTTTTACGCCAATACTTATCGAAAATGTTACATACGTAATTTTGTAGATTGTTGCTACAAAACTTACCGTTGTGACAGAAAACACTTCTAACTGGTTAATTACGCATCCGCCGCAAACATGAATTTTCCTGGTTCTATAAACTTAGTTGAAAATTTACCGTCGATAACGACAGGATTCCAACATGTAGAAGAAATTGTCCCGATTGTGTAAATCAACAGTTATTGACGACAGTGGAGAACAAAGTCAACAATGTACATAAACTGGCAGCAGAATCTTATGAAGAAAATGAAATTGTGACATTAAATAACCGTATCAGAAAAGAAGCGCCAGCTTGTATGGTGAGATGTAACTATATTGGCTAGATGTTGACAGTAATTTTATATTAATATTAATATTGTTTTATATATTTAGAGCACTAAGCAACTTAATGAATGCGCTTCGTTTATCGCAAGCACATTGCTTAGCAGTACTTCCAAAAACGGTTGACCATATCAATAATAGTCACAACTAGTACATGTATAGAAGAAATGTTGTAATTTTGTGTTTGAATATAGTGGTTAACTTGCTCATTACCTTTTTTTTCCTCCTGTAAACAAAACTATGGAATCAGTAAGCTAAAAAAACTATTTATATTTAAGACGCCTGTAGGCCTCACTCAGATTGGTATTAATCAGACTGAGAGTCGTAATAATATTAATCTGTTATAAATCAATAAGTATGCGTTTTACTAAGTTTTGAGTTTTGTTACCTTTAAGTATTTTATGCAGCGCTTTTTGCGATACAATAATGTATGGTTTGTTATACATGCTACGTATGTAGAAATTTACTTTTATGCAAATATGCAACAACTCACTAGACTATTGTGTAATACTCGATAAACAAATGTCTGCTATAGTTTACAATTAAAATTCCCATAGTTATAATCAGCAAACTGTTTTACTAGATTTTCTCTAGAGTTTATTCACTCAATGTCGAATGATAAAAACGATTACAATACATACAGAATTAAGTTGCGAGCAGCAATATAATTTTGATTATGTAATTTTTGTAATCGCAATACTCTTTATTTAACGTCAATAGACTTTGTTACGTGTACACATAGAATAATTTAATTTCACTTGAACAAAAACGTATTTTATAAACTTGGCCACCCTACAACTTAACATTGTACTCTTTTCGATACAACCCCTTTAATCCCAACTTTTAACTGTAGTGTTTAATGTATAAAACTAGCGAGAAAAAAAATCAAGTGCTTATAAGCATACTGAAAGATAATAAATAAATGTACTATAAATATATGCTTTAAATGCAAACTATAACTAGTAAGTATGCATGTATCATATTTATTTGCATATTTTATCTTATTGTAATTAACTCATGTAACTGCCACTATACAAATATCGCAAATTAAAAGCGGGTAGAATAACGATACTACAGCGACAATGATGATAGAAGCATCTATAAATATAGGCTGACTGTTTGTTTATAAACACACGTAAACATAGTAGATACCTTAAAAAACGAGAGTGCGTTAAGCATAACAAGTTGCATCGCGTAATTATGCACCAAGTACGAAAATAAAACGAAGTGTTTGTCCTTTTAAGCAACTACTAATAGAAGAAGCTTACGCAATCAATGGTATGTTTGAGAAGCCGTTCAGTGCTCTAAATGACAAAAATGTTAATATTTTGGTCTTAATTCTTATTAGCACATACAGATAACAGTTACAGGTTAATGTGATTTACCATTGATCTAAGCCGTTTTCTTGCCGCTGGTTCATTCTGATTGGCTTCGTTGTCCATTTGATTTTTTGACAAGTCGTAAACTCGATCAAGCGTTTCTACGACATCGTTTAATAATTTTTTTTCGTTTAAATCATGAGTACATATTTTTTCGTCCGTTTCCACATCGTCGTCCGTTGATAATGAGATAGGCTCATTTCCAGTAAGATCTGTCTGTTTTGGAAAATTTTTCGTGGATTTGCGTCCGCGCTTTCGACCATGTGTTTTGGCTTCTGTTACAGAACTTGGTTTTTCTTGACGCGATGGGGGTGCTTCAAACGATGACGGTTCAGCTGCATCAACAGCACTAGAAACAATTAAGAAAATAAACTAATATTAATCTTCTTTTTAATAACACACAATAGTATTTTGATAAAGCATGCAGATTATTATTTGAGCAATAAAGCACACGGTTTTACGAGTCGACAAAGCGGCAATCCATTAAATAATTTTTGTGTACATTTAAATTAGTTACTTTGTTCAAGTTATAAACTTACCTTTTTGGCTGAATTAGAGCGTCTGGCTGGGCAGGTACAGTATTCGAAAGCGGGAAAAAGGATTCCATTTTTGTTAGCAAAAGCCCAAATTAGTCAACGGTTAGGTAAATAATAAAAGGTTTTTGATAATAAATAAGTTACGCCTAATACGGATAAAATATAGGCGTGTATATGTGAAATATGCTATAGATAGTGTCTGTGATTATTGGTGAAGGAAGCCGTAATAGATAAGTTTTGTCAATATGACAAAGAGGAGTTAATTGTCAGTATGTATCAATGATAAATGTATGAAAACGTAATTTAGCCTGGCGAAAAGTCGATGTATGGAGAGAGGAGTCGTGTTGTATTTGAACGTATTTATATTATTACAGTCTTTAAACATGCAACGTTATACGATGCATTTCATATAAAATTCACATCACTAACGGTAACTAAAAAAGATTTGGCTGTACTTTGACACATCGTATACTTTTTTTTGACATGAAACGGTAATATATATTAAATTTAATAAGCTTTTTACTTATTAAATAGTGAGTTATAATGTCTTATAATGAAGCAAATATTGAAACCAGACCCAGTAGGACATCACATCACTCTTTGGTTAAGACTATGATTTATAAGACTGGGTTCAAAAATCAGTTTACGGTATAATAACTAACGCTTTTTGATTTTGGAGGAGTTACGAATGCTCTCAAAATTAAAAATATATATTCGTAGGACAATATTTTCAAACGTTAGTGTTAACAATAGACAAAGAAGGACATTGTTGATTGTAATTAAAGTCTTTCTTTAACAATGAGCTATTGGTGCAAGGGTAAAGTCTAGATTTACGTACTATTTTTTCCATTGTCTGAAGAAAAGGAAACCAATTGAGCGTTTAGTATAACCTCTAAAGAACAAATATGACAATATTTCGTTCAGCTAATATAGCATGTGCATAGTTAATTGGTACCATAAGCTTGGTAGAGCCAAAACCTGTATTGCAGTCACTGAAACTAGATTCATTACGGTTGCGCATTCATTTTGATACAGACGGACAAGCCTTCTATTTTACCTCTTTCAAAATCTTGCGCAAAAACCTGTTAATAGAAAAGATTTCAGGTCATAGTATGCCGTAACGATTGCGTATTATGATACTAGCTGCGCAACTTCGTTACCTTCTATTCAGATTGATAACGGTTAACGCCGTCGTCGTAGGTAACATAATCGATAGGAGAGGATAGGGGTCTAACAAACATACTAACGTACACAACAGTCCATCCGGGTAACAAAGGCACACGTAGTTGGTTAGCCAAGATACTTTTATTGGCTTGGTACAATGATTCTGAAAAGTTGGGGGTGGTCTGTGATCTGCACATCACAGATCGCAAAATCAGAACAAAGAAAAATCATAACAATGAAACGATCAGCAAACATCCGATTGGTTCATGATGTAATTGTTTCAAGCTTTCACTACATATATTCGCTAACCTCGACTCAATACATTAATTAGTAATATGCAAACCATTCTCATTAGTTGGTACGCGAGGGTCAAATTTAACCTTATTCTAAATGCCATATATATTTTAGTGATAGTCTCACTGCAATTTTCCCCACATTGTGCAAGATGAGGTACTTGATAGTTAATGGTTCGAATTAGACTGCAGAAAAGTAAAATCTTCCGGACAAATTGAATTGTAAAGCAAAAAAAAACCAAACAACAACATACCTAACAGTTTAGATTAGTGCGTAAAACTTGAAACTTATCACACGGAATGAAATGATACTTAAGACACATTCCAACGTATTTTGTACAGACGAATATTCGTACGTCAGATTTACCTGACAAAAGCAAATAACGTATTGAAAGGTGATAAGTAATTAATTAGTGGTTTGATGTTTGCCAAACTTGAAATGTAAGTTGTGTTGTAAGTGTTTCAGAAAGAACCGATTATAGTAGATGCATCACAAAATAGCACGTTTATGCCAAGAACTGGCAGAATACAAAGGGGTTTTAACTAAACAGACTTCTATTTTAATTTAGTGACACGTTTGTACAGTTTCTTGATCTCGAGTTTTCTATTATTATATGCCTGCTATCCACACCATGAGTTTCCCTGTGATTTATTAACATTGTTTGTATTTCTTATTGATAAGCGTTTCGAATTGAATTGCCGCCATTTGTGGGACAATTCACTTATTGTGATTAAAATGTTTAAAGTATTGTATTTGCGTAGCAAGCTTTGTTCTATAATTTTACCAATGTAATTGCTCTTCTTTGTTTGTTATCTATTACTCGTTTAGCTTTGATAGCATGTATTGCATTACTTATTAAATAGATTGTCTGTGATCATACGGTTGTTTCCTTATCCAAACTAGACGGTAAATACTCACTTGTATAAGCATCTCGCCCTTTAATGTATCTCGAGACTTTACCAAGTGTTTAATCAAATTAATAGATTACATATCAAAATTTACTTGTTATTTCAAAGCTAGCTATTTAATAACAATTATCATTAGTCGTGCCGTACTCTATTTACAATGTAAATTTTTTCTTATTTAAACCATGCTTTCTAAATAACAGCCAGCTCCACTTTTTCATAGAAGTTGTAATTCTAACAAAACAGTACCCATTATTACCAGTTTTTAAAATGTGACGGTTTGTCCGTTGGATAAACAAAAAAATTTCAATTCGGAATGAGGCGAATCTATACATTACTCGCGTCACCGATCACGTCATATGATTTCACAATGCAAAACTTTTTTTGGCAAGCTAAAATTGACGATTTGCTTTGGTAGTAAAGATAAAATTTACTTTAATACTTAGCACGAGAGCGGTCAAAAATTAGTCAAAAGCTGGATTGAAATGATAAACTTTCTGAGTAATTATCTTAAGTATTTTGTACCAACACTTTTATCTATATCCGAATATACTTAGACTATTGAACAGCTCGACGTAGGACAAAGCGATCATCCGTCAATGCAAATGTGGAATTAGCTCATCGAATGGGCCCGTGTAAAAAGAAATTAACCCAATTATGGCGATCCTTGTAATGTGATTAATTAAATGTGTATTATGTATTCTTCTATTGTGATGCATGATACAGTTATTTGTGAAACAATATCCATAATAGTGTTAATACAGTCGTCTAATTATAAGTAATAATGATCAATTTCAAGCCATATACGTTTCCCAAGCAATTTATAATCATATAACAAAATTGTTTAAATAGTTTGTAATAAATCTTGCATAGTCGTTTAGTTCTTCTGTAGTCTAGAATCGAGAGAAAAAGATTAGGATTATACTTAGAAATTGTTTTTTATGTATAAAGTGTAAATCGTACCATACGGGCAAGTTCCTCTTTTCCTTTGAATTTGCCGTTATCGTCTCTGTTAAAAGTTTCATTGGCTAATGTTTGCATCACCGGTTTATCCATACCGCCGACAAAATTTTCAAACGTAAGTTGGCTTATAATGTAGCCGACAGGTTTATTTGACGGTCCAGAACTTTCCACTTTCATAAAATGACGACTCCCGGTAAAATCTGGTTCCTTGGAGCATCTGTTAGTAATTTCTCGATTATCAACCGTACTATTGTAAGGCAGAACATGGTATTAAGCAATATAATTAGTTAGTCGGACTTTTTAGTCTGTCCTTAGGTATCGTTATAGTTTCGCCTAAATCCTAGTCGCTGAGAACCAAACATGTGCCAGATTCCCCCCCCCCACCACCACAAAAAAAAATAAGGTAAATTTTAACTCTAATCTTTTCACTTACGTTGTCTGGTTTGTTTGCTGAATAAAAGCATCTGACTGGACAGATACATTAGTATGGTCTAATAAAAGCTCGGGAAATTGACTCATTCACAGAGTAACACAGACTTAGCGGGTGTTGAAAAAATTTTTCGGGGGACCCAAGTTATATGAAAAAAATTTTTTCGGGGGACCCAAGTTATATCTCAAGTATTCACAATTTACACCTTCAATAGATAGAGTAATGAGTGGTCTTAGAAAATGTCTGTAGCTAACAATAATTTATGAGATAAATCACAGAATTGGCACCCACAAAAGCTAACGTACATGGGATATTTATATTAACCGAGGGTAGGTTATGAATATAACAATAAAGTATAAATTGGATTAACAACACACAGTAAATAAGTATGTATTTATATTACTTCAATATTCACCTCATTTACGATTACTGCGAACACCTTTTTTGGTGAAATTTTGGATTACAAATAAATCGAAATGTACACAGCCAACGGGCTGCTGACTATACTGCCGATGTTACACTTACTGCCACGGACGGCCGTATGATTCGCTAAATTTATAGTGTCCACTGTTCTTGTCTTGTAAACCTCAATTGTTCAGGAACGAAGTTTTTTCATCATTTAACAAACTGTTGGGGAAGGCGTAAGACATTCTGCTTGTAATTTAGCACTAAATTTGTAATTTTGCCCCTCAATTACCTCATCAACATGCTGTAAACAGCCGCGGCGCTATCTTTTAAATATCCATCGTATACGTCAATGTTCAGAAATCATAAACGCCAACACACAATTTGAAATCTAGTCCATTTCTTCACATTTTGCATTGCCCCCAACAATTGACAAAATTTGAATAAAGGTGGCAATTGCATTATTCCCGTCTTTGCCGTTTATCTAAAGAAACAATTCATTACCAAAAGAATTCGTACGGTAGACAATGTACTCTCCAAAGAAATTGTGAGTTGAGGAACCGCAGCTTGTGAACAACGCTACCTGAGTGAGAAACTCCAAAGATAAAATAATAAAAGTAAAAATTGGACTTACAGACAAACTACATAATAGCAAAAATGTTTCAAAAAGACTTGGTTATCTCAAGAGCTATTACGGAAGATTGAACATCAACTTTGCAATTTCCTGCTTGTTTGTCTAAAAATAATTTAATAGACATAGACAATACGTTATTTGGAGCCATACAATAACTTTTAGAAAAACAAGTGGTCAACCCTCCATATCCATGTCGTTATTCCCAAGCTTGAAAAAAGGATATCAATGCTGAACTTTCTATACTCTGCATTTCACAGTTTTTTTTTATTTTGGCTACCACATGTACCACCCACTTCTCTAATGTTTAAGTGATTTGTACTGTAATGTTACATTAATGTCTATGAAAGAATCGGACACTCCAAGCTTAAAGTGTCTTTTTTGTAGGATGCAGTCAAAGAGTATAATGTGGTGTGCTGTTTACATCAATTAATAAATGCTGTCGGAAGAAATCCAACAATGATATGTTCTAACAGACAAGTGAATTATGATCGTTCAAGCAGTCCATTCTATATTAAGTTTATTCTACTACATTATCGTCTTAATTATAGTAGCAGATTGTTGGTTTCAGCAACAGCAACAAGATTTGGAATTTTAACATGCAAGTTTGATCGTTAGTTTAAAATTATAAATATGTTTACCACGTGAGTCTAATAAAATGCTAGTATGCAAGTAAGTGCAGATGAAGATTATCGCGGCAACTATTTTGCTGGTGTTACCAAAGCTGCCGAAATCTGCATGAAAGATTTATAATGATCGACATAACGAAATGATTGGCTAACTATGGAAAATCGGACATGAACAAAAATTGCTCATTTCCTTGTAACATAAAACAAGCAAAATATTCTTTCGGAATGAAAATATGTCGTCGGTATACTGCCGCTTTGACCCAAACACAACTGCAGGTGGCTATTACTATTGCTGAAATTACTAATTTAGAAAAACAAGATTTAAAGCAAAAGCAACTCCTGAAATATTGCGTATTTAATAAAAAATAGTAACATAAATGGTGGATTTTGTGCCATTAATTAAATAGACAGCAATCTTTCACAATGAACGGTTACCGAGAAACGCAATCTCTATTTTTAACAATTTACAAGGCACGCTCTCTTGTGTCTCCCTAGAATTTGACCAAAGCCTATTCTCGGCAAGGAGAGCATAATTACTGTGAGTAGTATTCTAAGTAGTACAAATTATGAGCTTATAGAATAATGTAAATTATAATACCAAATCTTACTGTTACAACAAACAGCTAAAGAATTGATAGGCATGCATAAAGATGCCTGCTTATATGACTAATATTGACTAATACGCTTAACATTATACAGTCAGACTTCTCTAAATGCACGTCGTCGGGACCGACGATGCGCTTGCATTTATGGAGAGCGTGCATTTAGAGAACGCCAATCATTTTGTTTCACCGTGACCTCTTCGCATAATATACTAATATTAATACGTTTTCGGGACCATAGTGAAAAAAATCCAAAAGTGTGCATTTAGAGAGAGTGTGCATTTACAGAGAGCAAATATATAATGTTCTTATAAGGTGGGATTGAACCATACCGTGCATTTATGGAAAGTTTATATAGTGTGCGCATTTAGGGAGGGGGCACTTAGGGAGAGTTCACTGCACTATGCCTGCAAACCATTAACGATTGTAATGCGTAATGAACATTAAGGTTTCAACTGAGAGAAAGAATATCTTTAATGAAAAAAAAGTATCATTGTAGAAAGCTTCTAATACTTGTTTGCTTCCGAGAAGCGTCCTCAAGACCTTACTTAATCGTACTAATCCACTATCGTGTTATAACCTTATAATCCAAAGGCAGTAATAATACGTCATTTGACTCCTTAGTCTGATTATGTAACCGGCAAAGATATCATATGAACATTTATTACGTAATTATTTGTAGATCAATGATCACATGAATTGCATATAGAGAAACACTCATATTAATATAGAGATAGAGCCGAAAGAAAGCTTGCAATTGCAGAACATAGAATGTGCACTTATCTCTTAAGTCCCATCATGGGACCAAGCAATTGCTGTGCATTTAGAGAAAAGGTGCATTAAGAGAGGTCTGACTGTAATAATTTCGTATGCGTACAAACAGAACTGACTTAAATTTTCTAATTTCCTTTTCTTTTGAAAAACACTTGCCCGCATAGTTTAATACAATTAAGGTAATTTATCATAATAAACATAATATAAATGTATACTAATCAAATACAAAGCTGCTAATTGCATCACATTAAGCCTGAGCAGGTATAAATAATTCTACTTAATGATCCACGATAACCAAGACTTATAAACTTTATACAACTTAAAACTTATTTCCAATATTCTACTGTAATGACTTAGTATAAATAATAACCATATAAGTAATACTACCGATAAAGTGTCCATTCAAAATATAAATATTTCCAAGCCGCGCACAGCTTCTCAGCGACTTCTATAAGTGTTACGTAATTTCATATCGATAAATCTTGCATAGTTGTTTAGCTGTTCGGTAGTCTAGAATTGGTGGAGAGTCTAGCGTTATAATTGAGAAAAAAATAATAAAGGGGAGGCATTTATTTCACCGACAGTACATTTTACGTGACACATTGTTATCAATGGTTTTCGATGAAATGATTGTCGACTGTCGATGAAATGATTGTCGGTGAAATGAACCAGACTCATATAAAGCATAAATCGTACCATACAAGCAAGTTCCTCTTTTCCAATTTTGTTGTTTCCTTTGCTATTATTGTTGTTTTTATTAAAACTTTCATCAGCTAGCAGCTGCACCGGCTCATTCACACCACCCACAGTTTTATTCCGTTTTGCTGCAGCACTAGTTTTTTTTATCGACGATCCAGGCTTCTCTACTCTCATTAAGTGATAACGGCCGGTAAAATCTGGTACTCTTAAGTGTTTTTTAGCAACCGCTCGATTGCTTTTATTATTAAAATTACGATTAGGTCTATGAGATTCTGGAGAAAGTGACAATTCAACCATGCTATTGAAAGATGAGAAAAATGGTATTAAATAATATAATTAGTCAACTTTTTTAGCCTTCATTAGACGTCGTAATAGTTTTGTCTGGGTGTTGTCTAAGTTGTTGTTGAAAGACTGAATATTTTAACTCTTCAACCTACGTTGTTTGTATTGTTTGTTGAATGAAAACATCTGATTGGTCAGATACACTGCTATGGACTGAGGGCTCGAAAAATTGACTCATTTTACGAAAAGAATAAAAACTTTTGTCACTTAATGAGTGTATGGTATTTATGAGTGTATGTGTGTTTGTGATGTTCGAACAATGTGTTTATCCCAAGTATTCCTAGATTAATACTTTCAATGAGTAGAGTAGTGTCTTGAGTAAGAAGTTTGCAAGCAGCAAACAGGTAATTAATAAAGAATAAATCACAGAATATAATTTTTCAGCACCAAAGCTAGTTAGAAGGTGTATATATACTTGTTTTGTTATTGATGTATTTAAACGTTCTAATATTGTTCTGTTCGTTACAAGAAGTGATATTAAAGAACAGCAAACCGCCATTATTTAAAAAAGTGTAGAAGAAAGATAATATTCTGCGTTATGAATTTACCAATTAACCAAATATAGTAGGATTAAAACTTTTTCAATCCGATTAATATCTCTTTCATGACTAAAAGTTTGAATATAAAGAAAGATTTCTGGTTGTAAAACCAAAGCTTGTCTTTTGGGTTATCTATTTTTAGGTCATCACGCTAAGTTTTAACAAGAGCTTGCACGTTGATTAGGCTACACGATAACATCATGACCGAATATTCCTGTGACACAGCTTTTTCACTTCACTATTCACTTTCCAAAAGAATTCGACATTATTGTCTTGAATTGGGACACAAATCTAGACAAAGGCCTTAAATATATACTGTATATCCCAGAATAAATAAAGGTTGTTGAAATTGTAGTCAACGCCATCTTTAGCATTGTTTGATTGTGACTAACACACCCTGTAGCTATGTTACACAACCCACATAAATGTAAAACAAATAAATTCGTTTACCCCAGGTTGGAAGTCTACGGCTCATCCTCTCCGACCAATACATTGCTCATAACATATTAATTCAATAGCGGGGTGGATTAAGTAATGGGAATAAGTTTCTTCGTACGGTAGAAATGATATGCCATCTCCCTTGTTGACTTTTTTTGGAGTGTTACACACTGCAGAACCTTTCTGCATGAATGACAATCAGCATAATTTTCACATGAATGCGCGTTACAATTAACAAAGAACCAGAACCCATGAGGTTATAAGGGTGCCATACCCGGTCAAAGTCTTATTGTCCTCATACTAAACGATAAATTTGTGATTAGACAGACGATCTCAATAAACTACGTTAGCCCAAGAATAAGAATCGACAAATTAGTCGTTCAACACTAAATAAACAACAGGTTATTGCTATAACATATTGCATAGAATGACGAGTGTCGCACCAACCAGTTGCTGTTAATGATGGGAGAAAGGCGTAATGAGAAAACAGAAGTGGTGATGAGAACAAATGACGTTACGCTATGAATAATTCAATCGTCACTTATACTACTGACTTAGTGTATATTTCTACGGTCTCCATTTGTTACAGACCTACGTAGTACGTTCATTATTCGAAGGTAGCGTAAAACATAGAGCGGAAGAGTAAAATGTAAAAATAAGAACAATTAAGTACAATAAGTAGGCCGGTTTAGTCTATTTTGCTGGCATACTGTACGCTGTGTAGTCATTGATATTATTTGCTAAGGTTGAATCACAGACTATATCTCGCTTTTATCTGGTAAAGACATAGTTTATGAGACTGAAAATTAGCAGTCATTGTCGTCGGGAGTAGGCAATCTATGATATACAATAATTTGGTGGATATAATACCGCACAGTCTAGATTCTGTTAACGCTGTGACCTTATCATCATGCAATCTGTCTTTTTGAATCTTACATTAGTAAGCATTATTACTTTTTCGGAAACTCTTAGTCAACTTATAATATATACAATACTGTTTCGTCAGGTTTTTGCACATGCACTCTTCGCCCGAACGATGTTCTAGCCCGTATTCGATCAATTCTCAGATACCAACTCTATAGAGTGTTAACAAGGGAATAAAAATGTAGTTTCATGTATTGCCCCCTTTAGTGTTAGGGCTAAATAAGCGGAGCCGCAGACCTGCTTGGTAACCACAATCATCGATAAGCGCCACATGATTGAATATCATGTACTATACATGCGTTTCAAACTCTTTGTTACTTCAAAATGGGAACAAATTTCAATGAGAAAAAAAAACCGACTCAGCGGGCTTTGCTATCAAATTTGAAACTCCATAACAGTTAAACCGAGGTTATGACAAGTCAGATGAGTTAAACTCATCAAACACTTTATTTAATTATCGCCAGAGTAGACACCAGTGATTCGGAATGATGTCAGAAGAAGCGATTTGATAAATGTGGGGTATGTTTCAGAAAAGTTGAGTTGTGATATTCTGCGACGAGAAATTGTCATATACAATTATTAGCAATTTATACTTAAATAATATTTTTTTATAATATAAGTCTTGTCTTATTTCTAATTTTGGTTCAAGAGTATCATCAATAATATAGAATTAGAGTGTGTGGGACTTCAGCTTTTGCTATAATAAACTGAATTGAGAACGAAAAGTGTGTCATTGGTTCGACTCTACTGTTCGTTCCTCAACAAATATCTGCTGTCGTGTAAACACCTTTCTGTGAACTTGTGCAATGGATGGAGGAAAAAAGAAGAACTAACAACCAAAGACTTGCTTTAATAAATTGATGGAAAGACATATGTATTGGAGATAGAGGGGAGCGATAATACAGATGATTTTTTTTGGCTTACCAATGATGGTTACTAGCAGATCTGTGGCCACTGCTGAAAGTATAACTAATGCTACAAAACATAGGCCATTACTTAGTACCAAGAGATTTTAAAAAATAAAGAACTAATTAAGTTATCAAGTATTATACATAGAGTGGTTGAAAAGTTTTGATCACGTAATTTTATTTCACAAGCGTACATAATAATTTGTAAACAAGCACAAGTCTTCAAAATGGTGGGGTTTGATTTTTTACACACTTTAGCCGTCTCTTCCAATCTTGAATTTGTAATAAAAAAAATTTTTTTTTTTGGAGTGTTCTCAACGACTGCCTGAAACTCACAATCTGGACAATCAACGTTATTATACATAACTTTTCTTGTCTGCTCTTTTTAGCTTGTAAATAAGAAAAAGTTATCTAAACTGTAAAGGCAGATGCACTTGCTTATAACAAGTTTGTAACTGAGTAATGCTCATGTAACAGTGCATCATCACAATAAAGCATGACATTTTTGCACCTTTTTTTTACTCCTAAGTTTGAAGATACTTGGTTAATGTTTATTACCATCTTCTTAATTGCATCCAACCTCATTGGGTCTTCTAAGCATAGTTTTTTTCCCGCGTTATCAGATTTATTAATCCACCGTCTAAATGTCACAATTGAAGGTGAGTCATTACCCCATGCATGTGACAGAATTTTTCCGACCTCCATCTTTCTCTCCCAGCAAGTAAAAATAAAGAATCTACGATTTTGTGGGTAAATAAATTCTCAAGAATCAATAAGGTGTTGTTTTTTTTCAAGCAAATTTTAGATCCACAATTTATTTTAATTTTTTTGCTACATTTTCTTTTTGAGTAAAGTTATGCAATTAAAACTTTTCAACCTCCCAGGTAATGTTTTATTTTCTAGCATTGTGCAAACAGACATTCTCAGTAAGAGTGTGCATGCATTTGACTAATTGGAGGAGGTAATGATTTCCAATGTCAAAAGCAATTTTTTACATAAAATATAGGTATATGGAAATTTTGCTTGTTAAATTATCGATGACAAAATAAGATTGTTGCTTATGTTACAAACACTTTTTTTCAGAAAATTAAAGGTGAGAGGCTATATACTATATGCATATAATTATTTGTTTGTATTATATAGTATAAAAATCTAGTATAAGAATAAATAATATGAGAAACAATCACTTAAATTTAACATCTAATTATTTATTAATGTTGCGACCCATTCTAGGATTTGACCCGTTCTGAGAACGGGTCAAAAATTGTTGACCCATTTCGATTTTGCAAAATGTGATAATCTACAGAAAAATTTTTTATCACAGTAATACACATAGCATACTATTCACAATACTAACAGTGTTCATTCTAATAACACCTTTGATACTAAATGTATGAGCGAACGAAAAGATTTACTTTATTTAAACATAATCCTAGTTGTAAATTCTGAATGGATAACACAATGGTTATTTATGGGATGACAGTTTGGGATACAACTATTATATACGCTTTTACAAGGACATCTTTTTGTTGAACACTTATTGTTACAG